ATAAAAACAACACTATAGCAATATAGAAAAAAAGAACAGAATGACTCGTGTCTAGAGGCTGACATGCTAGAGTAAACAAAACAGCGGATGTTTAACTTCTGAGTCTCTCTGAACTCATAAGACAAGAAAAAAAACTAATGAAATACCTAATAATATATTGAAATGTTTATTGGCAAATGTACTTGGAGATTACAGAGACTACAATATTTTTATGGTTAAAAACCCTCACTATTAAACTGCTGACCAGAAAATCAGTTAGAGGTTAGTTTTATTTTTATATGATATAATTTTTATATATTTTATATCATTGTTAGATATAACACAAGAGGAGGAATCAATAATTGTGGGTCCTGACATGTCTGAGATCAAGGACAAGTAAATTATTATGGATTAAGGAGAAGCAGCTACTGAAAATATATGACATTCTAACCAGTCAGGCCAATAGAGGCGTATCTGACAGGGCACCTGAACTTTCTCCACTTTGGATTCTAATAATTAGGAAGGGTAGGCCCTGCACTTTCTTCTCAAGTAGAACTGTGAAATTACACCTCAGCATTGCCCAAGCAGCGCGTTCCACAGAGCCTAAGGGCCCACTGCACATTGCATTTATTCAGGGATGCTTAGTTTGAGGAAAAGCAAACCCCACGCAATCGAACATACATACAACTGTATGTGAGGTACACTCTCAGAAAAAAAGGGTACAAATTGCTTGTCACTGTTGTAATTGAACCTTTTATGGTACAGAAATGGACTCCCAAAGGTACAGACAGTATCAATGTGCCATCAATGGTACAGAAATACTCCTCAGAGTCCATTAACGATTAAACTGCGGTAATTCAGTTAAGGGTAAATGTCTATTTTAGCTCCGCATGGCCTCTGGTTAGGTCTGCCATCGCGGCCCTGATAGGTACCTTTAACCTTGTTGTTCATTAATGCATAAAACTGGCCTCCAGTTCACAGCCCATCATCTCGGAGCTTCCTGACACCTGCACTACATTAAGGAAAGGAATGGAACACTTCAGAAGTAACGCTCTCTTTACCAAAACCAAGAGTGTTAAGAACTGAATACCTGAAAATCCCATAATGGTAGATCCAGGGCTTCAAAACTACAATTTAGGTCCATTTTGCAGCATGCAGTAATGGGTGACCTAGATATGTACATCTGAAAACATATCAACAAGTAAATATGTTTGTATCTGATGAGAATTCACAATTATAGTTCAACAAATCATAAAAAGTAGACTGACAAGAATGACATAGCTTTAAAAATATTTCCTGAAATCTGTGCTATAACACTATATCTGTAAATTTACATTGTGAATTTAAAGACTTATTGACATATTATTTATGCTATGGTTTTGCTGGCTGTTGTAATTAGTCACCCCTGACCCATAAAAATAGAAAAATCACACATGCAGGATTCAGTATCCATTCTCCATTGTACATTCTTTTAATGTTTCTTGTTTGAAAGATTTGCTGTGGTTTTAATGGGCAGAAAATCATGTTAAAATGATATGCTATAAAATACTTGCTTCTCTTTGAATACTGATTTCCATATTGAAATTCATGTTCACTATGCAAGACATAAGGACGATAAATTTGAATTTCAGTTTTTCATAATTTTAATTTAAAATGAATAGGTGATCTACAGCCTTCAAAGAGCGCTAAGGAGAACCGAATTAAGCGTCTCAGTAATACGAAAGGGGCCCTTTCTTTCAATTTTTAAATTTTAACGATAATATCACCAGCCAGTGTTACAGTCATGGGTTCAGATATATATTAGCCTTTCAGAATGTTTGGAATTGTGCAATTAGGTTAATTGAGAATCAGGAATGGCACGATGTCCTGCAGAATAACCCAAACTACACTGGAAGGCTTCTAATCCCCGGAGCTAAAAGGCTCTGTGGCCCCTTGGCACTGATACAGGCTTCATCTCCGTGGGAGGTGCCGCTAACCAGGTTAAGGATTACGTACATAGATTTACATGCATTTACCCTGAGAGCCTAAAGAGCTGCTCACTGCGCCTCGCGATGCTCTTCAGATATGCTGGTTTGAGTTTAGGAACTTTGCAAAAGACGAAGAATTTGTAGACTCCTGGCTGCAAAATGAGAGCAATTTAGGTACTGCCAAGTCAGATTATTCTGAATGCAGTATGAAATAAAACTAAGTGTACATATACCAATACATGTATTCCACTTTCAGTAAAACTATACACACACAAACCCAGTACAGAAGATGGATGGATGGATACACAAAATACACATTTCACTAAGATGACTCATCCAGAAAATGTGTTAAAATCTAAGGCCTTGAGCAGGAATTGTACAGTCAAAGGGAAGAGGTTCTCAAGGTGTGAAAACATGAGAGGAACCTTCAAGCAGAAGAGCCACAAGCACTGGCAACATGTCCAGAGCTTCTGACCGCTCTGCTTTATTGGCTGCCACTTTGTTCCAGAGAATCACAGACCCACACAGCAGCTCACATTTCCTTCAAAGGCATGTCAGGAATTTCTGCCTGCCCGTGATCATTATAATTCTGCCAGGCTTTAAGAAACATTTACTAAAATAGTTTACTGAGCTTCAGATAAGGTACGAAAATCAAACGTAACAGTGGACGTTCAGTACGTGTATCTCAAAAATCAACACTGAAGCAAAGGTATGTGGTTGTATTGCACAACACATCATGTTTTGAATTTTATTAGTTTGATGTTTCATTGCAATAATACAAGAAATGTGAAAACATGTAATTATGTATTTCAAATTATTTTTGCATCCACTTCTCATTTTTGAAATTGATGCACAGACTCTCTTCACTGAAAGAATACTCGGCAACAGCAAATGTTTGCAACGACATGGCATGCATAGTTACGACAAAAGGACCGGCTGTGTGAATCGTAGCTACACTTGGAAAGATGTAGAGCCTTGACTACAGAGTTCAGATTTTGACTTCTTTTTTTGTAATGTGATTAATTTACAGATTTATCAGACTGAACCTTTCATTTATGACCTGAAGCAGAGCCCAACGAACTGCATCCCTTTGATACAGATTCTAATTTTTATCCTTTATGTGAACACGAGTCATGGAACATATCGAGCAAAGAGAGTGGACCCCTCAAAGACTTTCATCTATTTTACCAGGTCATTCCGTGGCTTCAATAAGTAAATTTGACAATTGTGAATAGCGGCACCAACAATGGTGGGCACAAGATAAAGGAAGTCCGTCCATCTGCCAATCAGGTGAACTGAAGTGGAAACCTTTCAAGAAAACCAACAGGGCATAAAATGCCAATTCTTTTTTATTGTACCAGGAGATTTAATGAAACGGCATAGGCCAAAGTGAGGGGGGGGGGGCACTCTTTGCTGTCTTCAAGTATAGATGAAATGCAATTTAATAAAAAAAAAAAGAGAAAAGAAACACACAAGCAAGTTCTTTGCCTAGCCTTTGGGTCGCAGTCTAATTCCATGCCATGTGGAAATTGCAAACTGGCTCCTTCTCTCAGACAAGCTAGAAAAAAGCCATATGCAGCTTTGCAAAAAAAAAAAAACAAGCTACTGTTTGCCTATAGGCCTGAACAATGAGGGGCGGCTGCGGAAATTGCAGGTTAGATCTTAAAAGGCTATATTTTCATTTTGGGGGTGTTTTAACTGCTGTTAAATTCAGATGAAAGTAGATCAGCATTAGGAGTTGAATTTAATGTGGGATATTGCTGTATTCAAATAGTACACGCAAAAAAAAAAAAGCACAGCAAAGTGAATTATACAAACTATACCAAATCTGAGGACAGCTGACAAATATATCTACAATTCTATTCATTTCCAGTCTTTAAATATATTTTTTTAAGTCAATTTGGCTAAAAATGTCAGATTCAAAATCATTATTAAAAGGCACTTAACTGTATCTGTATCGCAACTATCGCGGAATGAAAGGGACTGAACGCATTTGTCCATCACTGTTCATTAAAACAATATAATTTAGTCTCATGGAGGAGAAAGAATCCGGGGGCTGCAGTGGCAGGAATGTGTCAAACTCAGCAGCAACCTGGGGGCTCTGAAGCTGCCACCCTGGTCCGCCAAATGCGTCGAGGCTTTGTGCCCCCCGGGCTGCCCTGGGAGACGGCCCTTTCAGCGGGCACCCCCGTGTCTGTTCTGAAAACGGCGGCCAGCTGTTCCAGATTGAGGCTCCGATCACGGGCATTGATAAGCGGGAAGCCGGTTTGATTTGGGTTATTTATTCAAGGGCTCGTCCCTTATCTTCAGAAAGGCTGACTGCTGTAGAAATGGGCCATGAATCCTCAGAATGGGAGTGAATCATAACCCAGACGGACGGCGTTCGGGCCTGGGCTCTTCCCACAGCGGGTCCTCTAGCTCGCTGACAACTGGCAGCAGCCGACGGCAGAACCGTCACCCAGGGGCCCACAGACATGGGCACGTTTAAGAGGAAAATTCAAGCAAAAACACCGCAACAAATGTCATGCAGGCCACGTGCTCTGCATCCACAACGGTCAGATCTCAGTGTTAACGCCCTTTTTAATATTGCCTGTACATACAAAACGCAGTATATATTGGTGTGTTGATCTAAGATAACAGTGAAGTACTAACAACCAGACATAACATAACACCAATGATAGAAAATAATCTCCCAGATGTAGTACTTGGTAAACACATAACTAAGGAAACTTACACAATGGCCATATGCATACACCCAAAGTACTGAACATCCCTGAATGGCATTAAAATTCAATTAAAATAGCAAGCGCGAATAAATAATGAAAACAATAAAATGTATATACCCACGTACAGAATAAAATCAGGGGCTGAACACATTAAGAATTTTGTGACATTTTGGGAAAGTTTATTTCCTTTGGAAGTGAGCAATGGATTGAAAAAAACCTGGCGCACAACGACGGTGCATAAAACAATGCAGAGCCAAACAGCAGCGATCAGATAGCCTCACCCTCAGGCCCTTCATCAACAACCACTTTGGGAGGGCAGGGAACTCACCGACGTGTAGAGATGACCTTCCCCATTCATGGCAATGTATAACCCTGTCTTCACGGACTGTATGGCGACAACTCGAAGGCCAACAGGGATGAGGTTGAACAAAGCTATAGCAGGACACAAAGTGGTGGTCAGAAGGACAGACTGACTGCACATAAGCATATTTCAGGGCAATCGGCGAGGGCAAAGCAAAATTCAGGCACGCGGGCGGATACCGCGAGGTAATGTGCTCCGCCAAGATTGGCTGGCAGCTTTAATGGACCTTTCCTCGGTCCGCAATGTGCTCTTTGCTTCCCGTTACGTAACGACAATTATTTGCTCCAGTGAGGAAATTACAGCCCTAGCAGCGACGTGAAGTGTGTCCACGCTGCTCATTTAAGCCTGACGACAGGGTAAACCCCCCTCGTGGCGCGCGCAGCGACCGAGCCGCGCTGCAGCGGGAGGGCTCGCGATCACGGCGCGCGTCCGAGTCCGTGACCAGACGGGACGGTGGGGGGGGCGACCGCGCCGCGGCCGCTGAACGCAGAGCAGGACTGGCGCTGGGCGCCCGGCTCTCCGTCTGCACGGCGCAGCGAAATCAAATTAACGAGCTCACCCATAACACTTTGAAAGTGTAGCGGCTCTGGCTAATGACAGGCTTCCCCGCCCACACAGCAGCATGACGGGCCATTCTCACACTCTCAAAGGGTTTTCCTTCCTCTGCACCTGTTCCCTTGTCACATACGGTGGCACCTAGCAGTGCTGCCTGTCTCTCAAAGCTATCGCACTTTCTTGAGGAATTGTGGGCGTGTGGGAGAAAAAAAACAAGATTTGTAGTGGCATAGATATAAAAAAAATTAGAAGTCTTTTCTACCATCTATGGTTTGTTTGTCACATTGCAGTGCAGTGTTTGCAGCTCATAACTTCAATATTCAATACGGGAATATTTAAATATAGCCTCTCTCTTACCAACAAATAGGAAGGGGGTATTTAAAAGCGTGCCTGCTCTTTTTTTCCTAATTGCATGTTAAATCATTTGTAATTGTACGGTCTACGTGTGCTTACTATATTTGGATCAGGGCTTATCGGCCCCAAATGCAGATGCAATTCCCCTAGTCAGCCCCAAATACTAAAAGGAAAACATTCCTTTAAAATAATAGCACAGCAAAATAATTTCCTTTCATTTAGAACATGAAGAAAACATACGGTGTGGAGACTCTCACGTAATCAAAACAAGCCAACTAAAGACCCAATTAACCCAATGATCTTGTGCTAAAATTGCCGGTAAAATTTATTATTTTTTTTTAAGTCGTGCCACATTGTCCAAACAGAAAGTCAAAAAAAAAAAAAAACAAACTCACAAGAATTAGTGCTGTCATCCTTGGTCCCGTCCAGAGATCCATCTGGATTCATTTGCAAGTAGTATCCCTGTCTGCAGTATAACCTGGTCACTATTCCCTTGAGCTGGGGATCTGAGAGAGAAAGGGGGGAATGGGATGGAGTAAGAGGGCATCATAGTCTGGTCAGAAAGAAACGATCACAGTCCTACAAAAAAAAAGTACAATTTGTTTTTTAAGGATGTTGCATACTGTGTAAAAAATGAAATAAACTTCACTAGTGACACAATTTAATAGCATACTAGTAGGTTTAAAAGTTTTTTGTAAATGTAAAAATGACTTCCATTCTTTTTGCATATTTCACATCCGAGATACATGCAGACAGTAAATTTAAAGGAATATTACCAAACAGCACACCTAACTTATATGCAGTGCCAATTTAAAGGATATTAAGTGTGCAGCTACTCTTCCTGCTTTGGGCTCAGCAGTGCCCTCTTCAGGTTCATGGGAAAATAATCGGAAACGTTCATCTTCAATCCACCCATTTTCCACAACCAATTATCTAAAGACGGGTCATTATTAGCCTAGAGACTATCCTAGGAAGCAAAGGGAACAGGAGCTAGATGTACGTTCCAATCCATCACAGAGGGGACAGGAACACACACACACACACACACACACACAGTCTTTTTATTATATCTTTGTGGGGACTCCCCATTCAAGATGATGGGGGAAACTCTAATCCAAACATGACGACCTTAACCCCTTCCCAGCCATAACCTTAAGCATATGTAACCAAACAAAATACAAGACTTCTTGTATTTTGGACACAGTTTTTGGACACAGTTTTTTGATTGCATCCACTGATTTTTACAAAACTTCCTCTTGTGGAGGCTGAAGAAAATTTGGTCCCCACAACATCAAAATAACAGGTTTTTATCACACTGGGGAACATTTGGTCCTCACAATGTAATATATACAGCAGTACATAATACACACACACAAACACACACAGATTTGTAATTATATCTTTAAGGGGGGAAAATCCTAATCCAGACATGATGACCTTAACCCCTACCCAGCCCTAACCTTAAGTAACCAAACAAAATATGGGACTTTTGGCATTTTTGTTTTTTGATTTCATTCACAGATCTTTGTGGGGACCTGAAACATGGTCTTCACAATGTAAAAAAAAAAACATTTGGTGCCCACAATGTAATATAAACATAATCCACACACACCTGTAATCATATCTTTGTGGGGATCGCTCATTTATCTCTATGGGAAAAAAGCTAATGCTAACTATGACAACCTTAATCCCTACCCAGCCCTAACCATGACTATAAGTAACCAAACAAAAATTTTAGTTTTCTGATTGCAGTCATGGAGTTTTAGAAAATTGAGTTTCCCCAGTGTCCTGGTCCCCATAAGGTAAAAAAAGGGGGTATTCATCACATTGTGGTGATATTTGGTCCCCATAAGGTAAGGTATATCTGGACCACACACATGCACAGACACACACAGATATACAATTAGAGAGATCAATGTAGAAACAATGGCAGTACACTTCAACATGGGAAGAACATGCAAATTTCATACACACACAGTGAGAGTGAGAAAAAAGGTTTGAGGTCATGTTTGAAAATCACTTTGGCGTATTACAAAGACACCCAATCAGGAATCAGCCCAATCTTGACGTATTACAAACACACCCAATCAGGAATCAGCCCAATCTTGGCGTATTACAAACACACCCAATCAGCAATCAGCCCACTCTTGAATGCAGCAGCTGAGCTTTTACAGACTGCAAAGAATGTGTTTTTATTTGTCGGTATATTTACTTTGCGTCATTGCATCAGCATGGAGACCCTTATTAATGGGAAGTCAAGCATGACAAATATGTGCATCATATTGATAAAGATTTATTAAACATCACTTATATTGGGCAACGTTTTTTCTACTGCCATAAAGCAGTAGGGGCAGTCTAAACAATGGCTTGTAAAACAGATTACAAGTTATAAAACTCTCAGGAGCTCCCATCCAGGTCATTTAGGACAGAATCAGCTGGCTGTGTATCGCAGCATCCTGGTGTTTATAAGGGCCTGTGATTTTGAGTGACTGAAAAAGAACCACGGTCCTCTGTTCCTCGTAGCACGACTGTCATGGCAAGTCCAGGTAAAAGACTTCCCCCGAATGTGGGAGAATGGTTTTTTACAGCTCTGTTTCCACCGAGGATGTCACCCTGACTTGTGAAAAAATATAAAAACGTTTGCATCATGTTGCCGCAGCAACGTCCAAACATAAGAGCAGCGTTGAATTGGCATGACTGAATATACAACACTGACCAATACAGAATATAAATGCACTGTAAATGTTTAATGTTTAACGCCCCGTTTTATTTTTTTTATACTGTTACTCATTAAAACGATCTAGGAGTTAAGTAACCAAGCATTTAAATTATACATTTCACTGAGGATGACTCTGTGACATCCTATTTGTATTTATTGGTAAAATTCTAGATTTCTCACTATTATTCACAAATGCCTTGAGGTCATAATGGTGATGGAACATAGTCATAGAGAAAAGACATTGGCTTACAAGAACATCAGAGTGTTTCCTACTGAGCATCTTGCATTGTTCCTCATTGTGCTTAATGATACTCTGATCGTTCTGTTTCTGATTCTGATTCCCTGAATGTGCGCAATCACAGCAGTAACGACAATATTTTCAGCTCTCCTTTAAGAGGCCAACGCCCTTCGGTCTGCAAGCTCACCTTCCCATCTCTGACATTTGTCGTTATCTCTGCCTCAGCTGAGACACAGCAGACATTCTGGGTTCTGGACAAGATGACCCATCAGCAGCTTGGTTCTGATGCTGCCGTTTTAAGAAAAACAGAGACGCGGTACACAGCAGCAGAGCAGCCGTACGTCTGTCTCCTGTGTGTTTACCGAAATTGCGATAACCGTGCCTGACTTTATGGTGCTGGATCCAGTTGAGGTCATTCTGCTGAAAGCTTTTTTATTGATTCAGACAGATTTTCATGTTTAAGACGGCCATCCCACATAAAAGACCAGTGAGAATCCTGCAGCAAGGCTTCAAAGATGACAAGCAAAGCTTTTTTCCTGACTGGGAACAGACTAACCGCCCACTGGCATGGAGGTGGCTGGGGGGTGTTTTTCCCTTAATCTCCCAAATACACACACACACACACACACACATGTCGGGTAAACATATCTTTATGGGGACCGCTCATTCATTTCTATGGGAAAAATGCTAGCGCTAACTATGACAATCAACCGTAACCATAAGTAAACAAGCAAAATTCAAGAGTTTTTCTTTTTTTAGTTTTTTCATTGCAGTCACAGATTCTTATTAAATGTAGTTTTCCCTTATGGGGACCAGGAAAAAATGGGTATTCATCACATTGTGGGGACGGACATTGTGTCCACATAAGGTAAGGTATACCTGCTCATGTATATGTGTGTGTGTGTGTGTGTGTGTGTGCATGCCTTAACAAATCAGTTCATATCATTCTATCAATAATACAGTATATTGTATGATTCTGTTTGAAAAACAATATATGCAATATGCCATCAGCAAATATCCATCATTTTCAAAATCCAATCAGCTTAACTGCCTACATTTTCTCCAAAAAGTACCATAAATACTAATCCGTTTATCAACAGCACAGTACTTCAAATAGGCAGGTATCATTGCAAGCGACACCCCACTTTTGACCTGAAAGGGGCTGACCCAAGATTAGCAAGCTCGACACTTCAGGTTCAAACTCATTATTAAGGCTTATACTGGACTTGGACACATATCATGCTAAAGCATAAGTGTATAGTTCATGTCCAAAATGGTCAAATCCAGGCCAAGATTTAGTTTCAACCAACCAGCTGAGTACTCCATGACTGTGACACTTTATGCTCAACTGGTTGGTTGAAACAAAATCTTGGTCTGGATTTTTACTTTATGGATCCAAATTAGCCGGTTCTGTCCTATAGTAATCACTTTTTGCATCCAGAAGGAATCTCAACTATTTAATAAGCAGTGGTGGCTTAATGGTGGCTTCCGCACTTGTAATTGAAAGATTGCAGGTTCGAATCCCCAAGTAGCAAAGCACCACTGAGGTACCCTGAGCAAGGTACCGCCCTCAGGCACTGCTCCCCGGGCGCTGAATTAGCTGCCCCCTGCTATGTCACGATGTCACATATGGGTTAAATGCAGAGGAAACATTTCATTGTTGTGCTGTGGTGTGTCAACAATGACCACTGATCACTAAATTCTAATATGCATGCATTTATAAGACGACATTTGTTGATATCCCATTTACTTAGGCAGGAAAAAACAAGCATTTCACAGATCCTTATCATTTGTTGTGTAACTGATTATAACATACCATATGTACACTTAGTTTACAATGCAATAGGTTTAGGGCAACAAGATAAATACTGCGAAGTGTGGTATTTGTGCTCCGGACTGAGTAAAAGACAAAAAGATTAAACTGAATTCAGTTGTTGCAAAACTATATAAGACGAGTGCTTGCAGTTAATTTGGATGTCTGTATTTACTTACTGTTTTTATTTGTGAAGAAATGATGGAAATGGTGCCTGAGAAAGAGGTCAGAGTACAGTAGCTACATGTGTCTGTGTATGCTCTGAGAGAGGAAGAGGAGATTGCAAGGAACGCTGTAAGGCTACAGCAAACAGGGGGAGGACAGGATTCAACAACAGCTCATAAAATGTTAGTGAGCGCCCTTGGTCATGAATCACCCTTCACCAGGTCTCTAAGTTTTCTTGTTGCCTTTCAATGCAGCATCAAAGAATGTCCTTCAGACTGAGGGAGAGGCTGAGACAGGGACACAAATGCATCTGACAACCGGTGTGAAGGCAAACCGCACCTACTACAGAATGTACAACAGCCACAAACAGAGAAAACCGGACGGGAGTAATCGGCAGTTTACGAAGATCCCACTCAGCAGCATCTGAATGTGTTACTTTGTGAACAAGGCAAAGGGGGTTAAAAACACAGACTGCATTTCAGCCAAGCTGAAAAGGTACTTATGTCAGTGATGAAGATGACCTTCTTAGGCAGTGGTAGATAATCTCATTCCAACCTGACAGTCGGTACTG